GCAACATGTCCCACTTATCATGCGATGCTCGTGACTGTAATTGCTTTATCATGTTACCGAAAGGGGGCATGTAAAGCCACACAAATCGGGGCAGCTCAGGCTGTCAAGCCAAGATGCTTCAACACCAGCACGGAGCGCTTCTGGCCTGAATGCTACAGCTTCTGTCAGCTGCCGTTACAGCTCCGCTATACGAAGGTCCCTCTGCTCTCCCAGAATCCAGAAAAGTTGGGAGACTCCAGAGTTTGGGGTTTGGGGGTTTAGAGGGCTTATAGGCTTATTAGGGTTTCTAACGTTTATTGGGTTTTACGGGGCTTGGCGGGTACATGCTTAGGGGTTGGAGGCTTGAGAGGGTTTAGAAGTTTGGAGGTTTTATATATGGAGTTTGCAGGGGCTGCAGGGTTTGCAGGGTTTATTGGGTTTATGGGGTTTATCTTCCGAAGCCATACCGTGAATCGACTGTACGTCAACTTCAAGACACGGCGTTGGCGCAGCAAAAAGGAGGCTTACCCTCTGCAGACGCTTTAGAACTGTCTTTGCAAACCTGCATTATAGATGAGATTATCTTGTACCGGGGTTTCTTCATAAGATATTCTGCCAAGCGTCTCTTCCCACACAAACTTCTTGTTTATGGGGTTTGGAAAGATTTTGTATAGGGTTTCTGAGCTTAACCTATCATGTCGCTTCCGGCATGTCGTTTGCATTACGAGGGGTGGGCTTCAGTGAACGGGGAATCAGTCATACGAGTCGAAGCCTCATATCCTGCGTAGGCTTTCAAGGGGTGCAAGGGCTCCAGGGGTCCAGCGCAGGGTCTCTGGTTGAGGGCTTCAAGGAGGGGGGGGGGGGGGGGGGGTGGAAGGCCTTGTAGAGGAGGATGGTAGAGAACACCTGCGGAGTCCGATGTCCCGGTGCCTGAGCGGTAAATGGAGGTCGCGCAGTTTTGGGTTTAGGGTTTAGGGGGTCAGGGTTTAAGGTTTCGGGTTTCGGGTGCAAGTTTATGGGGGTTCAGGGGACATGTCAGTCCGCACACCCAAGTTCACTTACTCCCGCTCGTCCCCCTACCGGCTTGGTACACTGAAGGGTCAGCCTGAGAATGACGCAAATCCCTGGACCCAGTAGCCGCAGCGACAGAAGAGCGCAAGGACCAGAACATCGTGAAAGCCAGAACGCCTCCAACGCCCCCAACGCAAAGCCAAGCAAAAAGAAGTAGCCCTAAACCCTAAACCCTGAACCCCTACAGTAAACCTGACGCCGTTGCCCATAATGTCCCCAAAGCTGCTGGGCACAAAGGGTAGAGCGATGCCCATCTGCCACTGGAGCTGCAAACCAAGAGCCTGCGGAAGCGTCCGACGGAAAGGCTTAGGGGTTTGGGGGTTTGGGGTTTAGGGTTCAAAGCAGTTGCGGGGTTTTTCTTTCGAGGGCATTGCCAACTGCTACTAAGGAAGACTTCAACCCTGAACCCTACAGACCTTAAACTTAAGCACCTTCCCTAAAAACCGCAAGCCCCTAAACTCCCCAAAGCCAAAACCCTACCCCTACAAAACCCAAACCCCTGTAAGTCCTACGCCCCTGAAAGCCCTAGAGCTCTCAACCCCAAACCCTGAACCCGGAACCCCTCACGCCCACCCACCCAAAACCCAAAGCGACCCAGTCCTCGATTTGGACCCCTGCTGGCTCACGACCCGCGTCGCGATGCCGAATCCACCACTCGGCAAAGTCCTGAGCCAACTGGGTGAGTTTAGGATTTAGGATTTAGGGTTTAGAGTTTACGGGGTTTAGGGGGTTTAGGGTTTAGGGTTTAGAGTGGTGGGGCTTGTTTAGTTTTGAGGGTTACTAGGGCTGAGGGCTCATCGTCTAGGGTTTCTGGGCGTAGGGTGTTGAGGGTTTGGGCTGAGGCCTTACGGGGCTTATGGGGTTTAGGGTTTGTGCAGTCAGGGGCCTGTCCACTTTGAATTGTTGTTAAAGGCCAGTTTGCACTATCTTTGTACAAAGGGGGACAGTAAGAATGCGAACATCATAAGAACAAGAACTATGACAATAAGAGCAACAAGAACAAGAAGAATAATCATGTTGGTAAAAGAGGGTCGGCTGCGGTATTAAAGACATTGCGGGCTTCCATTGTCCGTTTGGCGGCCTGCCGGTTTGTATATGAACCCCAAAGCAGGCTTGAGCGTAAGGATGTTCCCCCTTATACCACTAGTCCTCAATAGGGATTCTAACAAGGGGGTACGAGAATCCCCCATTAAGGACTGCTTAGTAGAAGGGGGCGAACATCCCAACTTGAGTGGCTTTAGGGGTTATCGGGAATCGGCCTCCAGCATGGTCCGCCTCCACAAGGGCGGCACGTACTGTAGGAAGACCATGCCATAGAGGTGGAGCCTCACTTGAAAGGGTTTAGGGTGTTTAGGGTTTTTTTTGGTTCTAAAATGCAATGACTCCCTTTAGGGTTTAGGGTTTAGGGGTTTAGGGGTTTAGGGTTTAGGGTTCAGGGTTTAGGGGTTAGGGGTTTTAGGGGTTTAGGGTGTAGGGCTTCGGATACCCACACACGGGGGGCATGGACTTAAAGGGCTTACCAGGGAACATAACCGAAACAAAGAGGGTAGAAGGGTACTACTGTGCATGGAGTTGGGAGCTGCAGATTAGGGCGTAACCCTCAACCCAAAAACCCAAAAACTGTAAAGACCTAAAAGCATCCTGAACGCCCAAAAAACAAACCCGAAAACAACGAACAAGTTGAAAACTGCTCTAGGCCACCACAAGAGCCGAAAAGACTAAAGCTCCGTTTACGAACCAAGCCCCCCCCCCCCCCAAAAAAAAAAATATATATATAACGAAAACTCCTAAAGCCCTAAGCCCCCGCCACAAAAAATAAGAAAACAGAAAAAAAAACTCAGCCCCCCAGCGCGGGCAGCTCGCGGAAGCCGGCCTGCTGGGCGAGCGCGCTCCTCCGTCGCAGCAGCCAACAGAACCTGGAGTTCTGGGTTTAGGGTTTAGGGTTTAGGGTTTAGGGTTTAGGGTTTAGGGTTCAGGGTTTAGGGTTTAGGGTTCTGGGATGTTCCCCCTTAAACTGACAGCCCTTGATCGGGATTAGAGTCACTATGGGACTGCTAGTAGAAGGGGGAACATCCCAAGATCCGGGTTTTGGGGTTCTGGGGTTCTAGGATTTTGGGGCACAAGGGTCTTAGGGCTTGATTCGGCGCTTTGGGCTTTAGGGTTTGGGGTTTAGGGGCTTAAGGGCTTTTAGGGTTTTCGGCTTTAGGGTTTAGGATGGGCTTCAGGCGTTTGGAAATTGTTGTTCTGTCGGGGAGGGGGGACGGGGGCTTGGGGATTTGTTGTGATGGAGGCTACTTGGGGTTGGTTTGCACTCGTGTTACATTCCTTGTGTGTTTTTGCTTTGTATACACACACACACACACATATATGTATATATATATATATGTATATTCCTTTGCATAAAAGGGCGTGCGTATATGTATGTATATGCATATACATATTTTGTATACGTACAGATCTACGCGAGTGTCTATCTAGAAAATACATCTATTTAATTTTGTCTGTACAATCTTTGGCCTTGAATACTCTTATGCTCTGCCCTGGAGGGATATCGGTTTGGTTGTGCGGTGCGCCAGCAAATTTGGGGCCAGCTTTGGCAATCTCGGCCGGCTTTGTCACACCGGTGCACTCAACAGGAGGCTTCGTGACTCCTGCGACTTCGGCCCTCGTCATTCGTCTGCAATGTGCATAAGTTGACACGTGCAAGAAAAGCTTGGGGTGTCGCTCTGCTTGTTCGGTATGATGCGAGATGATTGCTGCAAACCCTCCCACAATAGTGATGGAGTCTTCGCATTCCGCGTAGACCGTGCAATCGGGCCCAGCGAGAGGATGAGGTCTTGGGTATACGATCCAGGCCCTGACTGCTGGGGGCTGTGGTTCAGTTTGGGCTCGAACAAGCTGATCAAAACACCTTTCCAAGTAATGAGGGTTCAGCGCGGGGTGGTCCCGTCGCTTTACGCGCCCTAATGAACTCGCGAGAGCCGCGAGTTTTGACTGATTCTCACACAGGTGGAACCGTGTTTGGCGTGGCATACAGAGCTACTATGGGAAACATGGTTCCATCTGCACTCGCCACAGAACTGCACATAGAGTCTGAAGCCGTTGGCTTTAGTTCACGGTGTTGAACCTCTCTCCACCCCACCCGCACCCCCCCGGCCTGAAGGGATACCGAAAGAAGACTCGGACCATGATCTTGAAAGAGCGACCCCACCCTAAAGTATGCCGAGCGGCAGGACCGTGTCGCCGCAGAAGAGAAATGCCGGGCGAGTGGCCTCTGCTCAGGATCTCATTGCAGAAGATTAGCTAGCCGTTGGGACGGGGAGACTTTGCAAAGGGACCTAGAACCAAAACAAAGGGAGAAGGGTATCACCGGCTACCAAGCAGGACGCCCGTACTAGATGCGATCGCTGAGCCTCAGGGTCCGGATGCCGACGGATGGCCTGCCACACTGCGCCACACTTAAGTTGTCTGACAACACCGTGGCAATCGTAGAGGGATGAGGGTTCCAAGGGTATGTTTGCGGTGCATGTGCTTAAAGTAAGAGCTTTGTGCGGTCGTTCGGCCTGGTAAAAAAGACTGTTTTCAAGGACCAAGTAGTGGCCAGAGAGTACCAAACAATCGCAGCACGTGCACCAACCTCAACATGTGGAGCCGGAACACAAGGAGCAAAGCCCCAAGCAACGAAAACCCTAAACCCAAAACCCACAAAAAAAGCTCTGGTCCGCCCCTGCAGACTTGGAGCACTGCCTCAAAGAGTCCATCTGCCTCGGCTTCTATCGCCTGAGCCAGGGAGTTTTTGGGGCCCTCAAGCTTGACCAAAATGGCCCAAACACTGTTTTGTGCCCAGCGCAGGATCTCTGTCGAGGAAAGTCGCTTCAACAAGCGGCCTTATGGCGGTAGAGGGATGGCGCGGCTCGCCGCTCCTTTGGGTCTCCTCACCTCGCAAATGTTTAAGCAAGCCTGGAGGGCCCTGAGGGTACTGAGTAGTACTGAGGGTATCTCACTGCTCCGTCTCCGGGAGTGGCAGCACGGTAGTGCACCTTGCAGTTCATGCTCGCAGAGGGAATGGCTCAAGAATTGCTTACTTGTTGTCGCTAGCTTGGCTTATGCAGGCAAGCGACTTGTTGAAGGTCGCCTGTGGGTTCTGAGGTCGCGGAATAGATCATGCAGTATGCGATGAGACCTGAACCGATGTGCAGCAAGACCAAGGCAGTGTAGAGGCGCGACACCTGGTTGTTCTCCACGTCATCGTTGAAGACCATGGCGTACGAACTGGCAATATACTCCTCGTCCACGAAGCACCATGCCGCCTTCACAAACAGACCACAAAGGACCCCACGCAAAACAATCTGAAGCGGGATGACGACTCCGAGCTTTTGAATGTTCTTGTGCCGCGCATCCATCAGCAAGCGTAGGGGTCCAGTGAGACCTACATCCAGAAGTGCGTTCAAGGGCGGCTTTGGTGCGGTAGTGCAAGCAACAAGGAGGCCGGCCAGCGTAGTCGAGGCCAGCATGAAGAGCAAAATGCCGAGCGTGATAAGAGCGAGCTGGTCTGGTGTGATGGCAACGATGTCTACAAATCGCTCTTCAAGGACATCGTGCAGGATGCCGGGTGCTTTCGTACTTAAGAAGTCGCCTACGGCCTTGACAACAAGTTTGTCAAAGTGGTCCGATCCTCCTTCAAAATCCTCTGGGGTGATCATCTCGAGGAATCTGGCATAGAAGGCCTCCATGGCCCCCGGCAATCCACGGACGACTTTGCCTTGCTTGTCGGCTTGTTGCGCAGCACTCGCGAGCAACAGAGTGATCACCATCAGCGTGACATCCACCACACCGTGCACTGTCACGGCCAGCGAGGTGGCCAGCTCCAGGTCCAGCACTTGGCAGAACTTCGCAGAAAGCGATCTCGAGGCATTCAGCATCAGCATTACGGAAGAAAACAACATCCAGCCGAGGTAGGGCCTGCTCTGATGTGGCGCATTAGCACTCCAGCCGCGAATGGCATCAGCGTCCTTGTAGCTCTGTTTCATGTTCGCTCGGAGCTTCTCCATCACGAGATATATCACTGTCTCTTGCGGGAGCAGTCGAAGTGCCGTGCGCGCAACAAAGGCCCGCACACCTCTGAGTTTTTTTGAAATCTTGGTGACCTTCGGAATTAACTCGCGGTCCTCGTTCAAGACTGCAATCAGCTGTTGTCGGAAGTGCTCATTCAGAGCCCCCATGTGGCCGCTGCCAATCTGGCCCGGAGGTTCCACGCTGTCTTCTGGTCTGGTGTCGGTACTTGGAAAATAGTATTCACGCCTTGCCGTCATGTCTGCCATTGGGATAACTGTCCAATCTGACTCCTCGCAGTGCCAGGAATGCCACAAGCTTTCCAATTCGCTTCGCGCATCACGCACAAACCCGTCTTGCAGTCGATTTTGGAGTGTATGATACAGCTCGGCATTTTTTTGCATGACCCTATGAGTAGCATCGACCAGCGAGAGCTGCTGCCAAGTGCCATTGAGAGATTCTTGAATGCCTCCCGGCGGAGGGGCGGAGCCGTCAACTGCAGAAAGATAAATGGATGGCCGCAGGAGAACCTGGCAGCCCGGAATTTCCACGTAAACTCGCAGCATCATCCAAAGCTTCAAACATGCCAAGGGCAAGGAAAGCCACAAACCTTTGCGCCACTGCAGCTCTTGCCACTCCACCACCTTCTCGCCACGAAGGATCCGAAGCCCGCGGCTGGAGACCACGTACGGGGAGTCTAAACCAATGAGTGCCAGGCCAGCCTCCAGGGGCTGTTTGCTCCTCGTGAAGGCCAGGAAGCCAAAGAGGTTCGTGGCCAGCAGCCCCACCAGCAGCACAGCCAGGGGAGCCGTGAATTTCACGTCCGGAGTCTTGCGATATGAAGGCGTGTTGGCAATGTGCCAGAGATTTGTACCAACTGCAATCCAGCACTGGCTCCACGAGAAAAGGAAGAGGGCGATGAAGAGCAGCTGCTTCGCCGGGCCCCAAGCTGAGGCGGACGGTGTTGCAGTCTGGGTGACCTGGGCCTGCCCAGCTTCGCCGCGTCCCTCCCCCCCCTCCCTGACAGGGTGACAAGCCCAATTCTCGAAAGAGGCTCGCGGGGGCGGCCCCTTCGGCAGCTGGGCCATGTGCAAAATGCCTTGACCCACAAGCCCAGGCTTTGCCTGGGTCGGAGATATGGAGACAGGTGAATCGCAGAAGCGATTGTCACCTGAAAGGAACCTCGATCCCAGCACTTGAGCCAGCGGACACACCCATCTGTTGGAACTGAACACGGCATTCCCAGTTTGTGACAATGGTTTCCAAAGAGGCAACTGGTTCAGACAACTGGCATTGTATAATTGTCAACCAGAACCGGGCACAACTGTTAAATGCTGCTTCTACTGCTTTTGGCATTTCTGCTCCCAATTATTGCTGGCCAAAAGGTTGCTTTGTGATTGAGCAGTTGAACGATGAATATCCTGACGTAAAAGCTAGAAAGACACCCCTGGCGGTAACGATTGCTGTTCCAGTGTTGCTGAGAGCAACTCATTTTTGTTGAAGAAAATAAGTCAAGTAGCCCTGGGCGCAATGATGGCCGGCCAATCATTCTGGGTCGAAATTGGCATCCCTCTGGCCTATGGCTGCAAACTTGCACAACTCCTTCCAACCCTGAAAACATTCTCAGAATTGGCCTCTGGGATCGCGCCACTTTGCTGTGGCCACCTTGAAGCCATCTCCGGATGTTGGGGAGAGTGGAGGTCGGGCGGGGGCTCAAAGTTCTTGGGATCCATTGCTGCTAAGTCTGTAGATACTCGTTTCCAACTAAACATGAGACAATATGGGGGTTTACGATCATGGGGGCCCCCCAAATTGTAGGATCACCTTATGATTCGGACCTCAATAAGGTACCCCCTATTATCGTTAACCCCCCATATTTCCCCTACATTGAGTTGGTGCCGACCACTTTTCTGGCTCTACAGCCGAAGCGGGGACATTCCGTGACGGAAGGCTCAACACTCCAGCACGAAACTCCGGGTTGCCAGGTGAAGAAGCTTTAATGGCTTAGGGTTTAGGGCTTAGGATTTAGCGACCGCAAGAAGAAAAACCCAGCAGTGGGAGCCTCTGCATCCACGCACGGAACCAATCCTTCGTTGCGTCTGGCGCACAAGCGCTGGGAAGTCCTCGTGGACCCAAGGTGAAGGTGAAACAAACTCCGGCGCAACGAAGCCAATGGGATTCGCAAGGAAATGGATCTTAAGATACATTCAACCAAGTATGGGTTCAGGCGGCGCTATTACGTACGCTTGGACCCCCTTAAAAGCACAGCACACTTGGCGATCGAATTCCTTGCTTTGAAAAAAAGCCCCTAAAAAGTCACCCGAGTTTAGAATAGCCCCCATTGCATGTGCCCTAAAGCCTTTATCCCTCAATCCCAAACCCTTCGGTCCTTTGCAGCCGTAGTAGGCGCCAGCGAAGATGGGCCGAACTGGGATACTCAAAGCCTCAGTCGGTCATTTCAATACTCCAGTCCTAGAACTCCTACCTGAGGCTGCGATCTACATGGGGTCTACGATGAGGGGTACCTTATTGAGGTCCTGATGATAAGGGGATCGATCCTACTATTTGGGGGGTCGCGGGAGCCTTATAATCACAAAATCCTATCTTTGCTGGCCTAAACCCTAAACCCTAAACCCTAAACCCAAAACCCAAAACCCTAAACCCTAAACCCTAAACCCTAAACCCCGAATCCGCAAAGCCCTGAGCCTCCGGCGATGGAGGCGGACTCCAGGCACTGCCAGACCTGGAGTCAGAGCTCTGAATCCTTGTCCTACTAATTGCTGAAGAACCCGCCCCAAAAAAATTATGTTACTTCGAACATCCCCACCCTCTTTTTAGAGATGTTCTGGGGTTGAGCACTCCCGGGAGACTCTGGGGCTGGGCGCTCCGGGGACACTCTGGGTTGGGCACTCCAAGGAAACTCTGGGGTTGGGCACTCCAGGGCGACTCTGGGGCTGGGCAAGACACTTTGGTCAGGGAGACTCTGGGGCTGGGCACTTCGGGACAAACTGGGGTTGGGCACTTCAGGGAGACTGTGGGGTTGGGCACTTTAAGGAGACTCGAAATTCGGGGAGACTGGGGTGGGGCCCAGGGAGACTCCGGGGCTGGGCACTCTGGGACACTCTGGGGTACTCTGGAGTTGGGCACTCCAGGGACAGTTGGGCAGTCCCGGGACACTTTGGGGTTGGGCACTCCAAGGATGAGCGAGGAGTAGACCGGTGAGGAGAAGAGTTCCGGGCGAGGAGAAGAGTTGAGGTTTAAATCTAACAACCCCACACCGAGGGTGGGGAAAAAACAAAAGAAATCCCCCCTATAAGGGCAATATACGGATTTTCATTTTTCATACCTTGGGGGCTCTTAAGCAAATAGTAGTTTCCTACGGGTAAGGCTCGGTCAGACGCACATCCAGTACGCACATCCTAAAATCCTAAACGCCCTGCAACCCCCAACTGTTCGGGGTTCTGGATTCAGGGGTCCAGGTGTCATGATGCTGAAGGAGAAGAAGTCTGCCACCATGGGAGAGAGGTGCTTGTGAGATCAGGGGGTTTCAGGCTTTCTAGTTGCGGTGAGGGGGAGGGGGGGGGGGGCACTGTCGCTGGGTTGTTTTCTTGAGGGTAATGTGGGAGGTGCACAACAAACGCGAACTGCCAGGCGCAACAGACACAGCTCCTTCTTGGTATGTTACTTCGCCCCGGCGTCTGAAACAAGCAGACCAGGATCTGGTCTTAGATGTAGTCGCAAGACACAAAGGCCCATGGGTATACAAGCGCAACTTTCTTGTGTGAATACTTCGAAAAGTCTAAGAACAACCCGGCTACACTGGCAGCCACCCGGCCGTGTTCTCGAACGGGGCATGCTCGCCCACCTGCCATATCCGTGTGCCATGCTAGCTCCGCCTAGAACAGGAACCTGACGATCTAGCGCTCAGTTTGGTACGCCGCCCTACAACCCCTAGTCCCTGCTCCAGCTTGTCAAGTCTCATCATGTTCGCTGGGCTGCTGAAGTCAGGGTCTGCGCATTTGTTCTCAGGGTATGCTGCCTCATGGCAGGTCATCCGTGTGGCTTACAAAGAAAAGGGTGAGACTTGAAATTAGAGCCTTTGCAGGCGGATTTTGCGGCCGTTTGAGTCACTACACCTCCAAGCAAGACTGTACTCAGATTGTTACGATACAAATAAAATGATGCGACTATTTCTAGTTTTCATGAAGATAATTTTCGCTATTCTGCTCAGTTATCGTATTATGAACTACCGTTGTAGTCTGCGACTCATGACGGACACTGGAAAGTGGAAAAGCTCGACCGTGCGAAGACTTCGACCTGTCACGCCCGTCTCAACCGCACGCAGCAGATGGCCAGCAACAGCCAAAAGATCCGCATTAAGCCTTGAAAGGGGCCTTGGGTGTTTTCCCTAAGGATGGCATTCACCATCACAGTGAGAAACCAGATCGAGCCGAAGGCCACAAACATCAAGGACGAGGTCCTCAGTGCGGCCCGCCGATCCCTAACCCTGAACCCTATAAACCGCACAAGTCAAACACAAGGGTTGCTCTCTTGCCAGCCCGGTGGCAGGAGAGTCGCGGTGAGGCGGGACATGACCTTCATCAAGAAGGCTCCAAGGCTGAAGAACTCAAACGCCAGCCATACGTAGAACAGAAAGACGCCCAGCCTCGGATTTCACCATGGCTTCACCCCAGTCTTTGATTTAGAGCTGCGGGAGTTTAAGACTCCGAAACCCTAAACCCTAAACCCTAAACCCTAGAGCAGTTTAGGGAGCATGCTGAAGAAGTAGTTCGACAGAAAGTCGCAGGAGGCCAAGAGCACCGCCCAAGCATCTTCAAAGCCAGAGCTGTAGGCCTCCTGGACTGTGGGGGATGACAATAAGAATAAGAATATGAAAAAGAAAAAGAATAAGAATAATAGTAATAAACACAAGAATGAGAATAACAGTAACAATAATCATAATAGCAATAATAACAACATAGCAACACTAAACCAAGCATGTAGCAGTTGTCACAATAATGACAACTAAGAACACCCTCTTAACAAGAATACGGAACAGTCCATAACATTTGCTACACCTCCCATCCTGCACAACCCCCTGCACGGCATTGCGAAGACCAGGAGCTCCAATGGTGCAGGCCAAATATATCGCGTGCCTCGAAACTCATGAGATGGGAGGGGACGAAAATTGGGAAAATAGTAGGATTCCCTTTTGACAAGGACCCCCAGGAGGTACCCCCAATTTCGGAAACCACCATGTGGGGGAGGTCTTGGGCTGAGGGATTTAGGGCTTCGGGTTTAGGGCTATTACGGTCAGCTTTAGCAGCGCGATGTCTGCAAGAGAACTCTTCAAGCTCGGCTGCTAAACACTAGACTAGACCCTAGACCCTAGACCCTAGACCCTAGACCCTAGACCCTAGACCCTTAACCCTTAGACCCTAGACCCTAGACCCTAAGACCCACACCCTACACCCTACACCCTACACCCTACACCCTACATAGACCCTAGACCCTAGACCCTAACCCAAACCCCAAACCGTAAACCCCAAACCCTAAACCCCATGACTATCACTTCACTGGGTAAAGTATGGCAGAAGGGGCACCTCAGGGGCATCTGAGCCCTCCTCGCACCCTGCAGCGCGGTCACCATGAAGTGCGAACGCACCAGGTCCTACCGCTGGCTTGAGGGTTTAGGGTTCAGGGCTAGGGTTTAGGGTTTGGGGTTTAGGGCTTAGGGTTTAGGGTTGCGGGGAACAAAAACTCGTGGGCAAGACCCGTTTTTGGGGGGGTTTTAAGCCTTGTCATGCTGTGCTTTCGCTCATGATGTAATTGGATCCAAGCCGCATCAAAGCGGTCCAGATAAGCCTCATCTTTACCCAGTCCGGTTGCGTCCGAATACCACTTCTTCAGCATCTTGTAAACCAGAACTCGGTCGCAAGGCAGATCCTGCCCTGTCTCGGGATGACGATGGTGATGACTGCAGCAGAAGCACTCACAGCTTCGGACGCTGAAGTGTTGGAGCTGATCGGGAACTTTGCGCAGGTCGTGCATGACGCGGATGCCAAGAAAAAAGATGCAAGGCAAGACCATCAAGGCAACTGCAGCAACGACACTGACAGTTCTCAAAAAGGACTCCCAGTAGATTTTGCCTTGCGAGCCTCGTACAAGGGTTTCTTTCGCTCCTCCATTGTGGAAGGATAACTCATACGGAGTCATGAGAAGCATTCCACCAATGCACATGAGCAACATCACCTTGAGTGGCATGTTGGGCAGACTGCAACAGATTTCTGAGCGCTAATGGGAGCAGCTTGCACACTGCTTACATAAGCATGATACCTACAAGCGTATCCAAGTCACAACTGGCAGGGCCACTGGCACAAAGTGAACGGGCCGCTTGCCATGGCGTAAGTAGCTGCCGAGCTCGTAAATACCTCGGTGGAGGAGGCTTTTCAGCTTGAGAAGCCGTCATGCCAAAAACGAATGTGACGAATAACTTCCTGCACAGAGGTCGTATTCGTTGATCAAACAATCAATATCGTGCCAGTCCTCGTATGCCTTCGTACATCTGCGGGTCGAGCGCTTAGTGGTCTCTATACATATGCATAATATACATATCTGGATATACATGTGTATATATATATATACATATTTACACACACATATGACTTTAACTTATTCGTTTGCATTTAAATCTTTGTGTATTGTAGTCGGGAAGGTGTCTGCCGCCCACACAGATCACACGGGGCGCACTGTTGCTCAAGCCGTGCCGTCGCACTGCCCGCATCAAACTCAATATCGCTCATCGAGTGGCGGATGCGAGGGCCCACTTCGGCTGTGCACTACTCACGCGCAACCTCTTGACGTCAAGTCTTGTGTGTTCTGTCAGGCCAGCTTCGTATACTTGCATTCATACAAGCAGTCGTATAGGAGCATGTTCGAATTTCAGACTCCTAGAATACCAAGCCGGAAAGTAATCTGCATGACATCTTGGTGGTTGGGCCATTGCACGGACATTCATGTATGGCCCTGTCACACTATGAGGTTGGTAGAACAATCCAGGAATCTTAGTTGGGATGTTCCCCCTTATACTAACGGGAATTATGGAACCCCGATTACAATCCCCATCAAGGGCTGTTAGTATAAGGGGCCACATCCCAATGTTCCAAGGGTACCCCATCGCTAGCGCAACGCTCTATGCATTGAATCTTGACGGAGACATGCCAGTTGCTGCTATAGCAGCGACTAGGGCCCTCGAACGTCAGCGGCCTAACGCAACCAGCCAATTGTAGAAAGAATAACCGTAGCCACCTTTGCAGAAGTAAATGCCTTCATTGTAGCATGAACCTCAACAAGAATACGAATCATAACGACAATCATCAACAACAATAACAGCATTTGCCCGAGGTGCACCAAAGTCTCGTGAAATATCGCGGCGACCAAAGGATTGTGAGGCTCTGTGACCGGTCGAGGAAAGCCGCCAACCCCTCGATGCCTTTTGCTTTAAGCGCTGCATCGTGCTGAGGGATGCAAAGCTTGTCTACAAAGACTACCACAGGAATCTTCATCCATTCGCGAAGTCGTTGCCAAAAGCAAAGCACGATGAAGTACACCAAGTAGGGCATAAAAATACACCAGACGTCATCCGACACAAGGCCTTAGAATACCGAAGCACATCTCCATCTTGTGCATGCACATTCGGAAGTGACACGAAGCACCTCACAGCAAATCCAAGGCACCGGTTCCAATGAGGACGCCCCAGAAAATGGAAAAGGAAAGGGTGAGAAATGTCCTGAGCTCTTGGATAATCTTCATTACCACCCAGCCAAACTCATATGTCGGGGTTTAGCGGTTGTAGCAGCCTGGGCGTTCGCAGGCGGGACCCAGAAAACGACACGCGCATCGCAACGAAGCCAAGGAACGCAGCTGGAGAATTGAACACCCATAAGAGGGCCAGGAATTTCAGCCAGCCCGATGTCTTCCAATCATGACTTATGAAGCTCCTAAACTGCGACGTCACGAAGCTTAAGTTGTAGGCTTGGCCAGCTTGGTACCTTGGTTGCCCGAAAAAAACCTTCAACCATTGAGAAGTTGGAGAACATACGCTCTCAAAAGTCGAAAAGCCGCTGAGGCACATAGACGACGCGCTTTGCTTGGACCAGTGCTTGCCCCATCCACTTAAGCTCGCAAACAAAGTCACGCCATGCACCAACTCTTCCTCGATCTCGGTTCGGAGCTCCACTGAACCTGTGAGCAACACGATCAACATCTTTGCAACCCTAAACCCTAAACCCTAAACCCTAAACCCTAAACCCTAAACCCTATGGGACCACATGCCCTTGAACAAAGACTTGCAGACACTCGGCGCAAAGTTTGTGGTCAAGCGGCTTCTGCCATCGTCTCCCCCGTCGCTGCTGCGTGTCGAGCCATCGGCATTGCCACTGGAGAGGTCGAGTTCCCACTCCTGCGTTCGGTCGCCCCAAGAGGACTGCCGGGCTCCCCACCTCCCCCAGAAGCTTCTGCCGTAGGGGATGCACAGGGATGCCCAAAAAAACTTCCCTCTCAACAAACATTCCAGAAACCCGACGCCTAGGACTTTTAGGAGTTCACCAGAGCCTGTGCTTTGAGGACTTAAAAGGTGCAGACGTAGTCATCTTGCACATCGAGTTGGTATCACCTAACAAAAGATAAGAGTGCTCGCGCTTCAACAGATCTGGGTGGATCTTCTGGCGTGCGTCAGCGGTTGACACAGGCACCCCTAGCTTCCCTGCCTCTGCTCCCCTCCCTACCAGTACCCGCCCTTTTCTTGTCGCTAATTTGTAGGAGAAGTGAGGAGTGAGACTTCACGCGCCAGGAAGTTGCCTTCTCGGGCTGGCATACCCTGTATGGAGCCCCTAGCAACTGATTAAGTTTCTTCCTCACTTTCTCACTTTCTGGGTACCACACCCCCCCCACCCCCTTCCCACTCCCCCACCCCCGCCCTAATGCGAGCCACCGAGGCCCCTGGGTTGCACCACCAGGCGACAGCTTCCTGCTTCAAGTAGACTTGACAGGGCACGACCACCAAGGACCCTCTGCCATCCGTGTCTACAATCACCAACAACCCTATCTACAAGAGCACACTCCAACATCAAACCATCATCAAACGAGACTTCAGGACCACATGCAAACACTAAACCCTCAACCAACAAAGGGAAAACCATGCTCCCAGAGCCGGGACTCTTCGGGTACTGACCATGTCTCCGGGTCATCCATTTGCTCAGCCATCTTAAAAAAAGACTTGAGAGTTAAGCTACTCCGAAGGTAACAGCACGACGCACATCTGGTAGAACCCGTTGAAAGGACTTTCGCATGTTCAGGCGGTAGGGCTTGTAGGGAGTTCAGAAGAAGCTTATAAGGGGGTTACAGGGCTTTCGAAAGCCCTAGATAGGAGTTCTAATGGGGATAGTGGCAGGGTTTAGTGTGGCAGAGCTCATAAGCGCCGATTCGGCACCGGCGCCCTGGTCACTGTGGAGCCACAACGGCTCTGATTCCAAGGTGCCTGCTACTCCCTAGGTTCTGGGGGTTAAGGTTTAGGGTTTAGGGCAGGGATATTTAGGCTTAAAGATGGAGCTGAAGGCACAGCAGACTGGCTTAAAACCCCAAAGACGTTCTCTCTGAAGTGGACCCCATCTATAAGCCCCGAGCTGTGCGAATCCCCGTCCCAAGCAGCCTCGTTCAAGAGCCCGTGACACTGAGGGCTCAAGCGCCAACAACGCACATTACGCACTGAGACCGTGCGCACAGGACTGTGACGTCACAAGAGCTCAAATTGGCGCATTGACGGCTGCGAATTTTAGAGCTGTGCCAAACCGCGACTTCAAGTGGCGGCTAGGGTGCCTTGAGGCTCTTGAGGTGCTGCTGGTCGCTTCAGGCCAGCACTCACAACAAGAACCATTGGAAGTCTCCTATGTTCCCCTTGTACTAGCAGTCCTAAACAGGGATTATAATCGGGGGCACTATCATCCCTAGAAAGGACTGGTAGTATAAGGGGAACATCCCAACCCTGATTCCTAGAACCCTAAACCCTAGAACCCTAGAACCCTAGAACCCTAGAACCCTAGAACCCTAGAACCCTAGAACCCTAGAACCCTAGAACCCTAGAACCCTAGAACCCTAGAACCCTAGAACCCTAGAACCCTAGAACCCTAGAACCTAGAACCCTAGAACCCTAGAAACCCTGAACCCTAGAACCCTAAAACCCTAGAACCCTAGAACCCTAGAACCCTAAACCCTAGAACCCTAGAACCCTAAACCCTAGAACCCTAAAACCCTAAACCCTAAACTCTAGAACCCTAGAACCCTAGAACCCTAGAACCCTAGAACCCTAGAACCCTAGAACCCTAAACCCTAGAACCCTAGAACCCTGAACCCCAAACCCTAAACCCTAAACCCTAGAACCCTAGAACCCTAGAACCCTAGAACCCTAGAACCCTAGAACCCTAGAACCCTAAACCCTAAACTCTAGAACCCTAAACCCCAAACTCTAGAACCCTAGAACCCTAGAACCCTAAACCCTAAACCCTAAACCCTAAACAAGCCAGCCTGACCAAGAGCATGACCAAGGCTCCGTCCCTGTAGCCGCGTTTCCGCGGCATTGGCTTGTGTCCTACAACAGACCGGATGAACCCAACAAACCCTATCTACACCCTATATATATATATATATATATATGTATATGTATATTGTTTTCTATGTATATGTATATGTATATCTATCTATCTATCTATCTACACTATATATAAACCCCCAAGAGCCGAAATACGCCATATATAAACCCTGGCGAAAAGTCCAATCGCGGCGGGAGCTGAGGTTTTGACATGAGTGAGAAACGCAGAAACATGAATATCTATGCCCCATTACAACTAACGAAAAGCGTATCATTGTGTGTACATTTTTACACAGAGAGAAAGTACATATGTACATATAACTGCATAGTTGTTGGTTCTTCCCTAGACGCTGACTCAATGCTGATTTCCCTTGCCTGTGCCTCCGTCCATGTTGATTGGCGTGCTGCAAGCCTGCCAAGCCAATCCCCGAAGACTAACTTGGCTCTGTGAGCTTCGGCACCAGTCTCTTTCACTTGCAAGCTCTAAAAAAAGGAAATCAACCCGGCAAGCCCTATAAAAACCCTTTCAACCGTCAATACACGATCATAAACCCTTGAAGCCCTTAACCGGGACTTCGGTCTGTCCACCTGGCGGAGAGGATCACAGGGCTGCCACCTCCGCGCCAGCGACAGCGCGGAGGCTTCGTGCGAAGGCCTGGGTCGGCCCCCCTACAGGGGCTTGAGAGGGGCGTTTAGGGCTCAGGGCTTTGGACGGCTTACATAAGGGTTTCGGGTTTTTAGGGCTTTGGATGGCTTGAGTGCTTTCAGCTTGTTGCCAAGTCGCAAGTTTCGGGGAATGCTTTGTCAGGTTAGTTTGTTCAGGAGAACATGAGTCAGCGGGTCGCCCACAATTGAACTCTGAAAGAGTGAAGCCTCTTTCACACTCTGTGCACAAGGCACCCTCGCAGCTTCCGAGGCGGATATTCTGAGGCACCGTCTCCAGTGCTGGCTTCTGTCCTGTGGCCGCAAAAGGTCATTCTCAGTGTGATCCTCCTCCGACCCCCTTGCCTCCCATGCTTGGCCCATTCAAACTTAAGAGGCATGCTGGGAACTCCTCAAATGCCCCCGAACTGCTCGAACGCTCGACCAAATTTCCACGTGGACCAATGCTGAAGCCACCATCCAAGAGACGCGCATGAGTCACGTGCCCTTGTGTGTCAAAGGTAGATCCCGACAATTTGATGGCCTGGTGTGACGGTCTGTTCGCCCTAGAAGATAATAAGTACCAGTGTCGAATGTGGCAGGCAGCGACACCCCCCGCCAGGCCTTCAATGAGCGCCTGTCCGGCACAGGCAAGAGCTTGCTTGAGCAACTAGGAGGTACAGCTTTGCTTTGGTTCTACCACACCGAAGAAAGGTTGCAGGTGACTCTTCTCGACTACTGCCTTGCAGCTTGAGCTTGCGATGCGGGAGGGCGGCTCTGATGATGATTGCGTGTCATGCTAATTAACCGTAAACCCTAGACCCTAAACCCTAAACTTACTCTAAATCCCAAACCCTGCTGTGGAAGCCTAAAACCTGAACCCTAAACCCAAACCGAGCGCCTCGGCCTTTGCGAAGACCTCCGATGTCCAGTTGGGCAGCTGCTGCGGCCAGGCGCTGCCTCGGCGTTGGGGCATCTCTTGGGTTTGGGGTTTAAGCTCTCTAGGTGTCGGGGATTAGGTTTGTATATACGGAGTACTCGAGTACAGAGATCATGGTGGGATAGAAGAGTACTATAGATCTGTTTTTGTTTTGTTTGGGGGGAGGGGCTGGGGGCTTAACAAGGCTTATTCGGGCTTTGAAACCTCCGACCCATTCATTGAGTCTTCTGGGGTCGCAAACAGTTAGCAACATGGCCCGCCGGGGTCTGCAACGGGTCTACCATCAACAAGCGCACACGCCACTGCAGCTGCGTCCAAAAGACCTTGAGACCCTGAAGTAGGTTATTGATCGGATTCTCGGCAAGATTTGAAAAGCTCTGCACACGTCCTTATCCAGCTGTGGCCCTGCCTCAAAAATGAATCACAGACAGGGCACTCGACAGAAGGTCCAGCGTGGAGTGGTCACCAAGAAGCGACCGCGAGAGGTGAAGAGACATGAAGATATACTGCGCGTCGGAAAGTGTGGGATGGGGGCAGCTGGGTAACATTGAGCTTGAGGTTGATTAAGTGTAAACATTCATGACAATGGTCGGAGTGCGCGTGAGGTGCTTCAGCAGTGTTGATCACAAAACGAAGCTTTGAATTCTTCTTTGAGTCACCACGCGAGTGATGTCCTGCATGCTCTTCTCGGCTGCGGCCACGGACGGCTCCTCCGGCGAGATGAGGAGCCAGGCAAGCTCGTTGAAAGCCTCTTCATTCGTGGAAAAGGATAGGCGCTGGTCAGCCGACATGGTCGGACTGCTCACTTCAAACACCCATGTCATCTGTTGCGCCATCATGCTACTTTTGCTGCACTTGCTGACCTTCTTGTACGTCTAGCAGGAGCCAGCAGCCCTGAATGACTTTACTCGCTGAACAAAACTTCTAATTCTACATATGAACCTCAAGAAACCACAAAGCCAAATAGCGAAACTATGAAATATCTCAAGGTCTACCCCCCAAGAAGCACTTCGCAGCACTGGGCTGAGCGAGGTACTAGGAGGAAGAGCGCAGCGACGCAGCCGAACAGGCAAAAGCCTTGCCCTGGCTGGCGCCCCATGAAACCCCGAACCCTACCCATAGGGTTTAGGGTTTAGGGTTTAGGGTTAGGGTTTAGGGTTTAGGGTTTAGGGTTTAGGGTTTAGGGCACGTGTAACCCCAGTTGCAAGTGTCCTGGATAAACCCCCTAAGTCCCCTGACTGGGTTGTAAGTTTTAAGTAGACTTATAATTGGGATGATAAATACCCATGAACCTCCAAGTATCCCTACCTAGCCGCACGGCCCTATGAGCCGTAGTTCATAAGGCCCTAGAAGCCCTCGAACAGATCACCCCACAGGCCCTGTGAGTCGCACCAAAGGCCCAAGAAACCTTCAAAGCCAATGCAAACCCTGTAACCCTATGACCATACGATCCTAAAACTACACCCTAAACCCTACAAGCCCTATAAACCTCTCAAACCTCCGACGCTACAGCCCTACAACCACTGGACCTTCACTGCTCTGTCGGCCATGGGCGGCCCTTTGAGTGATGGCTGAATCTCACGCTACACGGTCTGAACTTAGCCTTAGAAGCCCTAAACTTTACACCTACCCAAGACCCCTACAAGCCCAAAAACACACTAACGCCCCATGGTCCAAAAAGACCCTAACCCCCAAAGCCCTATTAACCTCCATAACCCGAAACTTCCCAGAAGCCACAAAAGTTTAAGCCCAAAAACCATAACAATGCACATGTAGCTCTTCAACCCTGAAACCCAGAACCCTAAACCCAGCTTGAAATTCAAACCTTATCACCTCAAAACCACCCTAAAAGCCACCCCGAAGCCCTAAACCCCCCCATGCCCCTCAAACAAGCCTAAAATAAACTATTTAACCCCCAGAACCCCCACAACCTCCCCCCCCCCCCCCCCCCCCCCCCCCAAACCCTAAAACCCTACGACCCTACAACCCCAGAACAGAATATACCCCCTAACTCTAAACCCTAATTCTAGTCCAAAAGCCCTAAACCCTATCATCCCTAAAAAACCTATGAACCCTAAACCCCAAGCCCTACAACCCCAAACCCTGAAACCCCAACCTAAACCTATACACCCTAATTCTAACCCTAAACCCTACTATCTCAAAAAACAACTATCAACCCTAAACCCCAAACTCTATAACAAAAAAACCCATAACCCCAAAAAACTAAATACCCTAAACCGCAAACACGAAAACCCTAAACTAAACCAACACCGAAAATTCTAACCCCCCCTAAGCCCTAAAGCCCTAAAACCTAAGAACCCAATAACCCTAAAAACTCCAAACCCTACAAACCCCTACAAAAGCCACAAACCCTACAAACCCCACAAACCCCACAAACCCGACAAACCCTGTAAACCCTACAATCCCGAAAGCCCTTACAACCCCTACAAGCCCCACAAACCCACAAACAAACCCTACAAACCACACAAACCGCAAACCCTACACACCCTGTAACCCTGAAACCCTGAACCCTATATCCCTACAAACCCTGTGACCATGAAACCCCAAAGCCTACAACCCCTACAACTAAACCCTTCACACCCTAAAACCCTGCAAACCCTGCAGACCAAACCAACCCTGAGACCCCCAACTCGGCCTTCGGCTTCCTGGACCTCATAGGAGGCGTTGATCCACCAACGAAGGGAGCCCATGACCTTCTTAGGGTGCAGGAGGCTTTTTAGGGGCTTTGGGGGTTTTAGGGTGCTTGTTAGGGTTTGGGGTTGTTAGGATTTTTGGGGCTTTTAGGGGTTTTGGGGTTCAAGGTTTACCGAACCCCCAAGGTATGTAAACTCATGGCTCTTCTGTGGGTTTTGGGCTGTTGTTTATACATGGGTCCAGGTAGGTTGTTTTGGGTTCAAGGCTTAGCTTTTGGGGCGTGTGTTTGTTTTCTTGTCGGGGGGGGGGGGGGGTTTAGGCCTTGGGCTTCGCGTTCAGGGTTTCTGGGTTTCTATGGTTCAGGAATTATGGCTTTAGGGTTTAGGGTTTAAGGTTCAGGGCTTAGGGTTTTGTTGGGGTGTTTGGGATCAAGGTTAAGGGTTTAGGGCATGTCGGGTTTGGGGTTTAAGGTGCTTTGGGTTCAGGGCTGTGGGTTGCCATCTCTGCCCCGAGCGCGCCAAGGTCAGGGCCTCATAGTCGGTCTCAGGTTTCTCGCCTGGGGCGTGGTCTTGAACGTCCAGGTTACTGGATAGGTTGATTGGTTTGGTTGAGTTATAACCTTGGTTATAACCTTGCGAACATGGGTCATAACCCGGCTAAGTACAGCCGCAAGTCGGTCATAAGTAGGAAGTCAGTTATAGGTTACTTACTGGGTTTATGAGCTAGTTATATAAGTAGTATCTGTTTAGTTATAAGTTAGTTAGGTTTCAGTTATGTTTAACTTAGGTTCTACTTATGAATTTGTGTTTTTTCAGCATTTTGATTTTATATGTGTGCTGCATGAGCCTCAGCTTTTTTGGCTCGTGCATCATGGATGCCAGACGGAGATATAACTTGGCAAGGGTGGAGAGCAGACGGCTAGAGCTGGAGACATACTCACGCCAGTGGGTGTTCTCGCCATGCAGGCTGCCTCTTGAGCAGGATTTTTTCTTGCGCCCAACTATGCTTAGTCGCACACTCACCTTTGGCACCATTCGTGAATGGGCCAGGATCCAGCCAGCCCTTCTCCGACTCGGTCCGCGAAGCTTCCACAGCACACCGGACCTCAAGTATGACCGAGCTGATATAGCTTGGCCACTGAACCTGTAGCCCTCTCAGAAGCAACCCTTGCTCCTAACATTCCCTCTGAAAAAACCCTTTGTTTTCTCGAATCCTCCTGTTGTCGGCCTTTGTCGGCCATTGTCGGCCCGCTCACGCAGCGCCAATGGCTCATGTCGGCCGGTTGTCGGCCGCAAACACAAAACCAGATGTTGTCGCGCAGTTTGGCCTGTCGGCCTGTCGGCCCGCACGCCAGGGTGGGGATTTAGTATCGGAGGCCTGTCGGCCCGCTGTCGGCCCGGTGTTTGCATCGAAACGCGAAAAATCAAGGTTTTTTCCCTTCTGCCTCAGCTGCTTGATTGCCTCCAGTCCTGATTTTTTCGCTCGCTTCCCCGCCGCAGCCGCTGCAGCCCGAGTCCCCTCCCAGCTACTCTAACCGCATTTTTCTAGTTGCTCAAGCCATGGCCAGCGTCGACGCTGCCCAGTTTACTTTGCCGACAAGCCAAGAAACGCTGCTTCAGTCGTCTCTCTCTCGAAAGTTGGGGCAGCCGGTGGCGAAACACGGGCGAAACTGCTCTGGTCAAGCCTTGCCAACAGGACCCCTGGATGTTGCCGTCCTGGTGGCGTTGCGATGGAGATTGCCTCATGTGCCTGCACTGAGAAAAAGTGGCATTTTCTGAAGCATGCCAAACGCTCTTGTGCTCTTCTGCTCCGGGAAAACCATCATTTCTCATTTTGCCACACTCGCCTCGACAACTTTTGTAACTGTGCAAAAACACAAAAGCAAAACTACTTAGGATCTACTTCTGTCTTACTTATAACTTCGGTTATAACTCGTGTAACCTACTTAACATAAGTAGACCCTAAGTAGATTATAACTCACACAACCGGAAACAACGTATCCAGTATAGGGTTGAATCTAGGGCCTTTGGGTTTGGGGGTATAAAGGGTACACACATCGCACACCCTCAGACCCTCAAGCCTCTTGGGGCACCCAATCCTCTAACCCTCAAACCAAAACTCAACGCGCAGGGCCCGGCCTGTCCAGGCTAGCAATGCTGCCACATCCTCCGAGTAGCCACAGCGTTGGCACACTCTTGGCAACTACTGCTGCAGGGTCCACGGGCACCCGGCAAAACTTTTCTCAGCAAGTTCTGCAGGGTTGCTAGGGTGTACATGTTAGGATTGTTTAGGGTTTATGGTTAGGTACGTAGCCTTTGGCATTCCATAGGGATGAAAATTGTCCCCACATGGCCAATGCTGCAAGCTCGACTGGCTCTCTGACTTGCTTCTGTCGGCTTTTGCCTACTCCCATTGGACTGAGCGCGACATCTGGGCCTACAGATAGCCTGCAACCGGGAACCCAACTTAGCCCGAAACCCTACATCGCCACCCCTCCCTGGACCACATCTCCATGCCCCAAACCCTAAAAGTATCCTACATCCAAGCCCAGACAAGCTACACCCAAAATAACACCCTCAATCAAAGACGCGTGGTCCTTTCGTGCCTGGCACATCGGCTCTAGCTCCTCGGGCGAGGGCTGCATGAGCTTGGGGTTCAGGGTCTAAAACAAGCTACTTCGCTCGATTTACGTGATTTTTGTGTTGCTTCATAGGGCTTGTGGCTTAGAAGTCCGTGGCCCGGCTGACACATCGCTCAAGATCCAGCCAAAAGAAGGTCACGCATGCCAAATGCAAGTCCGTGTTGAAGACCGCGCGCAATCTTTGAACCCCGCCCAATCAAATCACACCCGAAGTCCGCTAACCACACGAAATGTTCTCCAGAGGACCCACTCGCCTCCAACAGCACCACGAGCGCCGGGGGCAGTGGCCGTCCAACCCTTGGAGCCACAGTGGTGAAGGTTCGACTAGTGGGGGGTAAAGGCTCTAGGTACAAATTATTATGAAAGTATTTGGGGGTTCCTATGTCCCCACTCATTAACTACACATGAACCTTCAAGTAAGACGTTGAAGCAAGGTCTTGAGGCCACCCATGTCATTGGGATGCGCTGCTAGCTGTACTGCTAGGAAAGCATGGCAACGCCCAGAACCGCGAAGTAGCTCCAGGCAATTCGAGGGCAAAG